ACGTGGTGATTTGCAAGGAGGCGGAGAATGCGGCCTTTGAGCATGTAAATTCGTCATCTCCCTGCTATGAGAATCACGGACCCAGTTTCTGCGGGGAAGTCCCATTGATCCTTGCGATGTCATGTATATGGATGCCCTGATATCCGTATTCATATATGCTCACTGGAAAGACTGTTCGTACACACATACCTTGGGCCCAGCTCTTCCCACAATCTCGACGACGTTGCTCTCGATTGCTGCACGCAAACACGATGGAAGGTGGTACTTGTGATATATGTCAGTGTCTTTTTCCTGTGTCAAATATCAATCTGGATACTCACTAGCATACTGTACTCCATGACAGTCTCTACCGGCGTCCGGACCATCGCTATCATCTGCGAGGCCGCCGCCACGATTTGTGACACCGCGGAGAGCATGTCCGTTTCACGAAGGACGGATTCTGCCTCTGTGTGCGGGTCGAATGGGGTCGCGAGACTGGGAAACGCCAGGTTTCTCGATGCGAGACGGGTCTCTATGCTGTTCACGGAGTTGAGCAGAAGGTCGGCGAGCGTTCTGAGTTGGGATTTCGTAGCCATGACTGTGAACAATAGAGTATCTCTCGGGCTGAGAATTTATACCAGACTGGGTCGCAGATTAACCGAATTCTGATTCATATCGCAAATGAAGTGTCGTGCTTGCGAAGGAGGGAACTGAAGATCCCACGGTGTCTTCTCCCGTGCAAGATCGAGGACGAGATCGCCTCTGACCAGCCTTTGCGACCCACACACGAGGGATCTCACAAGACAGGAGATCATTCGCTCCGTGTCAAAGCTAGGACATCGAACGATAAGCTCGCCGCCCACTCAGGCTTCAATCGGAAATTCAATCGTCAGGCTTTGAGCTGTGAGAAGAGACATGTGATGTTATTGAAAGGGCCCGCTGGAATAGGTCTTGTTTTTGTACTCCTCATGGTTCAGATAACGATGTGTTACTCCACGCGAAGGTCAAAACAAAATGAACGTAGCTGGATATGATATCAATGAGGCTCAGGGTCCTATCTCTTCTCGCGGCGGGCTTCCGGGCTTCTACAAGTTTTCGGATGCAATCCCGCATCAGTCAGCTCAACTCCGCATGCACAAAATCTGGCGTCATAGCAGGCACGTGGAGTGCACCTGTTCGTCTTCGAATCGATAAGTCCATTTAAATAGATTTCCTAGGGGACTCATCGGGTTGCTTGTGATGCCTACACAAAGAGAAGTGTGAGACAAACAAGGATCCGAGTTGTGAGACAGGGTTCAGTCGTTTCCAAGACGCTATTCCCGCTTTCCTTCTGCCATCCGCAACCCTACCCAATGCCAGCATTGTTCAGTACACCCTCCATCGCCGCCGCCGCCGCGCAACAGTCCGCATCGACCGCAGAACTTCATCGATACCGTTATCAGAGCTGGGAATCGCAACTGATCTGCCTCTTCATAATATTAGGATTCGTAATGATGTACACCTTGGCGACGTGTCTATATGAGTGGCACACCCAGACGACGAGGGTGGGGACAAATCGATTCGAGGGGATCGGTGAGTTGTTGTTCTAAACAGAAGATAAGAGCAACCCTGTTCATGTTGTGTTCAGACCAGTTCCTCGCCAAGATTTCATCGACAACGAGGCCGCAGGTACCCGGGTCTTAGATATCAAGGGTTCTCGTTGCGAGTGGGAGCCATTCCTGCCTGGTTACTCAGTCGCGTCATTTAGCGTTCTCAGAAGTACGCTTATTGTGTGCTGAAAATCTCAACGCGCCTATCTTCCGGTGTGCCGATTATGAAACCCCATATTCGACGCGAGGGTCATCATAGCGCATCACTCGTGACCGTGTGGTAAGAAACCCGTGATCATGAGATTCCTCTGCTGCGCGACGGCATCTTCTTTTCTCCTCTTGTGACTTAGCCCCATCGCACACGTAAAAGCCCTGGTCATGGGGAACCCCAAACCGAAATCCTCTGAATGAAAGCTGTGTTCCTCGCTCGCATGACTTGTCCCCGACGCGGACCTTAATGTAGACGCCAGCTTTTTTTTACTCCACTCACTTTGCGTCGACGACCATGCCCATCTCCGTTGCTCTCACTCTGGCTCTGGTCTCCTTTGTGCACTTGGCTGTTTCCCAAGATTCGCCGTACCCTCAGTGTGCTCAAGGATGTGTCAAGATTCAAGCGACGCACGCAGGATGTAATCTGTACGCCTTGCTAATCTCGTGGTTTTTCCACACCTGTCTCAATCTGAAGTACAGATCTGACGTCGCCTGCCTCTGCAAAACTGGATCGTTCGCGTCAGCTGCACAGCAGTGCGCAGACGCAACGTCGTGCTCGGCCAACGACAAGGCCCAGCTCAGCACGGCACTCCAAGTCCTATGTGCTGCAGGTGTGTGTGCGCTCTTGCCGTATGCGTCGACCTATTCACTATCACCATACCAGTGTCAGCGTCTGCTGCCCAATCCACATCCATCTCAGGATCTCCATCGTCTTCTGCCTTGTCAGCCTCTGGCAGTAAAAGTGACCGTTTACACAAGCAGCTGATTGAACGTCGCTGACTTGGACTGCAGGTGTTACCAGCGTCCCTTCGACAACCCTCGGCGCATCGAGCACGACTCAACTTACGACAGTTTTCACACAGTCCCTGCTCACCACGACGGTCACCACCGCATCGCCTCCGCAAACAGTTACGCTGACGACCCTCGTGCCAACCACTGCTGCAGTGATTCCCACCAGCAACAGCATCGGCAGCAGCACGATTGCACTCTCATCGCTACCGAGTTCTAGCCTCTTTCTCTCTCCCACACCCACGAACGTTCTTCCCTCGGTCTCTGTGTCGCCATCAGCTCCATCGGCCTCAGCCTCTGGGGCCGCAGACAAGGTTGTGCTCGGTGTGGAGATGATAGTCATGGCCCTGTCTGTCGTTGTACTCTTCATCGCTTAGTGATTTCTCGATCGCCCAAAGCGAGTGGTTATGTATCATTTACACACAGGTAGAATCACACAGCCTTGAACCGGTATTTCTTCCTTGCCTGAGCCTCTACAAGACCTGGCACCATCCAGTACGCCAAATGCGCCAAGCCCATAGACCAGGGCATAAACACGTTCTTTTCGCCACGCTCAATCGCAGTCATACAGCGTCGGGCCACAGCCTCTCGCTTGAGCCCGCTCTTGTTCGGTTCTGCTTCGCGCGTGTGTCCGCCATCGACTGCTGAAGCGCGGAAGTCGCCTTCGACAGTGCTCGGGAGGAGCCGAGTGAATGCGATACGCGGGTGCTCGATTGAGAGGGCTTGATACAAGAGCAACGAGGCGGACTTCGTAGAGGCGTACAATGACCGGGTCGGTGCGGGTATCACTGAGGCAAGCGAGTTGACGAGGAGGATTGACGGGGAAGGCGAAGTGGATTCGAGTAGTGGGATCTGTCGGAGGGGTGTCAGTGGATGAAGGACGGCTTGAATAACGAAATGACGCACGAAAGTCACCGCGGCGACGAGTGGGCCGACGAAGTTGCCGTCTGCCGCCCGTTTCGCGATGTCTACGATACGGTGTATGCGCTCGACGTCGAAATCGCCGTCGGCGGAATCTCCTCCGACCTCCATAAGTGGACGCAATGCCGAAACACCGGCAGCCACAATGACTGTATCGAGACCACCCCAAGCTTGCAGTTGGAAGCTTAGCTTGAGTGCTCAAGCGTCCGATGGAGTGAGTATAACGCACCTCGCACGATCTCGTCCCGCACCCGCACCATCGCCTTTGGATCCACAAAATCACCCGGTACCCCGATAACCTCTGTCACCGTGCGCATGCTAGAGCACTCATCTACGACTTCTGCAACAAGCCCTTCTCGGCGCCCGACAATACACAGGTTGCGTACGCCAAGTCCAGCGTATTGCCGTGCAAGGGTGCGCCCGATACCGGACGTCGCGCCAATGATGAGTACGCGTTCAATATGACTAGGAATTTTCTTCGAACGCTTGGAGTTGCGTCTTCGGACTACCAGGAGTGGTAGAACTAAAGCGGGCAGGGCCAGGAGAAGCCAACGTGGAACAGATAGCGACATGATCGAGGAGAGCGTGACAGCGTTGAATGTAGGCCATCAGACTGACGTAATTTGTTATTTGCCATGGACCATATCCTTCTATTGATGGTGTACAAGAACTGGATGCCCGAGACTGAGGACTGAGCTTCAAAGTACACCTACTTCGTAGCGTCGTCAATTATTTGCCTTACAGCCCGCCAGGCTTCCAGCAACTTCGAAACGTGGCGTTTCGGTCCAGCAGTACGACAGACACAGTGCACGATAGAACTACCGACCTTTCTGAACCCGGTACAAGTCCGCTTTCTACTACTGAGGTATGCGCCCCCGATGCATCGAAATTCACCACACGAATTGATCCGCACAGGTTTCGGTCGTACACCATGTTGACCGCGCGGAGACGCACAGCTTCGTAAGTGCAATGCAACACACATCCCAGCCGAAGAAAGATGCAGTTAGCCTTTCATTGAGGATGAGGGAGGCAAAGTGCGTTCTGGCACCTCCAAATTTAGTAGATTTGGTGTCCTGTAGCGCATTCCGGAGGAGCGCGCAGGATGGTGGGGAAGATGGATCGATAGACCAAGCGGGGTGAATCGGATGTAACACTTGATTGCTCTAGAATGTCTGTATGTATTGTGCACTGCTCTCAATAGGAAGACGAAATGTTCATTTGGGGGGAAACATTACGGCTTCCGGGAGTGAATGTACTCCGGCCGGATAGTGATGCCGATTATCATTACTAAGAGCAGAAACTCGCATTGCAGAAACCAATGAAAGTCTAGTGAATGGAATTCATGCCTGCGAGGAACAAACGACTGAGATTTCGGACCGGGAGGAGTCAATTAAATGCAACATCAGGTCAGTTTCTGGGTAACGACTCGTGAATTCTTCCGCTCAAGTTCTGAGATGAATATTCCAGGTAAAAAATCGTAAAATGGAGACATCCTCACTCGGACAGATCGAGCTACACAAATGTTTCGATGAACATAGTCTGGCCATGAAGAATGGTGATCGTCCCGCCGAACGACGATAGTCGCGCATCGCTCACCCGCTCCGGGAAAGCCCCTGGGCGGAAAGATGCGATATCCAGATCGTCGCGGCCCAGAGTGGACACATCTAGCAGCCTCGGGCATTCGCTCTCCGGGTCCAGGGCGTATGAAGAATAAGACAACGCCGGATCCTCGACCATTGCAACCGTTTTGACCGGTGCCGTTCGATATTTCAGTATCCCATCCGTGACCGACACGTAGAACGTGAACACTGCAGCATGTGACTCGGCAGCATTGTTAGACAACGAGCCGTAAATCAAGATCGTGTAGGCGTTATGGCGGAGGGGGTTCATTCGCATATGCAGCAGCAACTGCTCAGCATGATCGAAGTCGTACTTCTGTTCATGGGTAACAAGCGTTTTGCGGCAGACTGCCTGGTCGACATCAAGCTCGAGACTAGCATGGAAGCTAGTGCGATATCTTCGCTGGAGAGAGGATTGAACGGTCTCCAGTGGCCACCGAGAACGTCGACGGAGAAGATGAAGAGCGTCGCGTGATGTGGCTTGACCGGAGAAGCCATCAGCAAGATCATGTGTCTGGGAACAAAACTAACGTCTTGGGCCTGAGTTTGTCAGAGGGTGGATTGAGGGTGACGAGTCAGAGACATACATAGCTTGATGGCTGAGTTTTGATAATTACGCACAACGCAAGCCTCCAGTTTACGACCAAGATCGCTTCCTTGGCCGCGTCGTTGAAAGCGACGCCGATTAGATCCTGATGAAGTACAGGGTACGAGCATTGTCGGGGTCCGATCACAAGCACCACGTTGAGAATCTTCTGCTGCTGCAAGACGGAACTAGAGAAGTCCAGCCTCCACATCTCAAGGCCTCTTAATAGATAGTGAGCTGCAGAGAAACTCGCACAGGTGGACATAAAACTCACGTCCTTCTATCGTCCACCCTCGACAATATTACCAGATTAATTACCCTACCACCGATCTCCATCTTCTCCGTGTAATAAACCAAGTCTCCGCTCCATGTCCACAGGACCTCACCAGAGAGTGCATCGATGCATCGGAACTCGTGTACGCTGGTCAGGAACGCATAGTTGCCGCCTGGAACAAGTCGGACCTGCGTGTGCTCGGCTTCGGCAAGAGAAATCGATGGGAGGCTTATAGATCTTGCAGGAACACAGCGAGCCTGAGGCGATGAACCTACAGCCCATGATGAGGGTCCACGCGCAACGCGGCGCGCCTCAGCGATGAGCTCTGGAACGGAGAGCTGTTCAAGAGCCAAGGGCGGAACGACGTCCGTCAGATTGCGCGCTATGATGTCCGCGTTAAGCGTCATCCACACTTGCTTCGAGCGAGCAAGGGTGTGGAAGAGTTTGTTGACCTGCAAGATGAAAATTGGTCGATAATATATATAGTTATTGGACGCACGGATGACAGTTGGAGCACGGCATGGGCATCGCAGAAAATCAGTATTAAGATTAAGATGTCTTCATTGAGGCGGTCAGTGATCGGGGCGATATCCATATGTGCGTGAGTGGCCGTGGTCAAGGATAAGCGCAACGGAGGCGGCACAGCCTGCGATGAAGTGTCACACAGATCTAACCATGTTGATCTGTCACGATGAGTGACTTCAATTAGGCAGTGGGCTGCGCAAATCCAGCAGGAAAAGGGGTCAAATACGGGGGAATGTGAAACTTGAGGTTCGAGTCCTCGCAGGACCGTTCTTCTTGTGTCACAAAGTGTGCGAAGATAGGGACGTATTCGATTACATCTCCCGGAGGTTAGGGTGCAGGGCTTCAAGCGGCCGCGACAATTGGAGGAAGTACAGCTGATGATCACAGAGAAGTAGCTTACCTGCGCAAGTTCCGGTTTCTCCCTCGGCAGGACGAGGATATTCTCGGCGTGGATTGATTCTTCAACGTTTTCCGGGAGTAATGAGACTCTTTTTGAGCCACCATACCTCTTCTTTTTTCAATTCGTGTGAAGTGCGATGTCGAACGGCTCCTGTATATTCGCACACTGGTCCGCCGATGGGATTTACTGCCTGGTGCATGTAATCTCGTTTCTTTCTTTTTCGCGCAGCAACGATTCGGGCTTTTCACTGCTAAGACCGCCCTTGAAACTCTCTGCTGTACGTCGCCCAGTTCTATCCACCTCGAATGCTTCTGCTTCCCGGGCTATCCCGCGTACAACTAGAGAGGGCATACATCAGTCCTTTCGCACTGCGGGCCTATGCAACGACAACATCTCCGGCTCAGTCAGGCGAAGCATTTCAGAACAGCTACCGTATTTCATGATCCTGTCATGCGGTTCTCCTCGTGGATTATCCAGAAACAGCGGCAATGAGCGACCGCTCCAATTCTCGCGCTCGGGCCATGCTGACCAATTGCGGTTAGGCGATGCTCGTTCTCGATAGGTGGCTATCCCCTTTTCCGATGCGATGACCGTTCGGCACGAGAACGAGACATGTGTCCAAAAGTCTCTGGGTCCGATCTATTTTCCAAATCTGTTCTCCTGATGCGAATTCCAAGTGCAGAAAGCGTGCATAGTTTAGGTCGATATAATTTACAATATGACATCCGAGGACGACGATGCTGAGCGCGAGCCCAAAGGTCAAAGCATCTCATCAATATTCCTGGACAAAGCGGGTTGACGGTCGTCACTGTCCTTGATGATAATCTGAGAACTACGCGCAGATCAAAGCATGATAGTGCGGATCTAAGCATGGCGATAATCAAATGGTCAGCACGACGCGGATCACCGCTGGGTTCAAGGAACGCACATTTTTGGTGACTATGGAGCTGTTTCGGAGAAGGGCATTGAAAGCGAATCGCCATTGGATATATACATAGAATGCGGGCCAAGGGTGCACGGTGGGATGATGCCAAGGAACGATACAGTTTTGACGGATGATTACGAGCGGTCGCCACGCGATAGGTTACGATGGAGGGTGGAAGGATGATGGTACAGCAGGGCGCGCGGAGAGAAACAAAGGAGCGGAAAAGCACGTAAATAACGCATAAACAGAGGAAGACATAGACACAGCAAAAAAGAAATGATAGAAAGGAAAGGAAACGAGGGACGAGGCCTCAGATCAACGCGGCTCCAGCGAGGTTTGATCGCAGGACGATGCTGCAGTGTGATATTGAGCATACAAGGATGCAGCCAGAAGTCGAGAGAAAACGGAGCAGGGGCGGAGGTGGACATAGAATCGGAAACACTCACTCTACAACCGACCAGTCAGCACAAATCAATGATAGAAAACTGGTCAGACACGCACCTTCAACTGCAGCCATCACCACTCTTAGCAACTCCGTATCTGTCGCTGTCGTCACGCTGTGCATTGTAGATGAGTACAGGGGAGGCGATGGCCACCCCCAAGCGGAAGTTTCCTTTTTAGGATAACCCCACTCACTGCATGTATACTTCCCGCTCCTTAGCACGGCCAGCCTTCTGAGCTAATCGCCCGAAGCGCTTCTTGAAATAGTCTCGCCCTTGACTGGCGTCGCCGGGCCTACCATCGAAGTCCTGATGCGATGCCGATGTGAGACAAGATTCGGACAGCGGAATACGACCACGGACCGGGAAATATGTCTTGATGTCGGAAGTTTGGATCTTTCTCTCAAACAGGTCGTCCTTGTTGAGGAACAAGATCTGGGTGATATGTCAGCATGAAGCGAAAGGCACGGAACGAAGCGACTCACGATGGATGTTTGCTTGAACCACTGCGAGTGGCATATCGAGTCCCAAATCGTCATGGCATCTTGCATTTGGTTCTGTCATCCTAGTCAGCGTTGATGTAGAATGAGCTGAGATTAACGAACGGCATCCCGGTCCTCTATCAGACACTGGTCATATCCGCTCAAGCTGACAAGAAACAGAATGGAGGTAACGTCCTGGAAGCAGTGTATCCACTTTCGGCGCTCAGACTTCTGGCCGCCGACCTTGCGAGCACATTCATCAACGGGGCGCCGTCACATATGAAGATGGACACATACATCGACCATGAGCATCTCGTGATCTCTCAGTGAGAACGTCGTCTCTGTGATCCCGATCGTCCTCGCTCGTGCACGCACAATATCTTGTTCGTTGGGGAGGTAATTGGGATCAAAGAGTCGGTCGAGGTGAGAGAAATAGTAGTACAAGCTGGGAATTCGTTCATTGGGCGCAGCGGAATGATAAATCGGGAACGCACTTCTCGGGCACGGCGGCCTCGTTTCCACGCTTCCAACCCGTTCGCACGACCTCTTCACCATAGTCTTGACAACGCCTGGCATCGGTTTGTTAGTCTCCTGAAACCCAGCGTGAACCAGTGACCCTGCGCACCCCGTAGAACCGAGAAGGGAAGACCTCCCCATCCCCCAAATCTTCAGCACTCTCGACCAAAGCAATATCTTCTGCCAGCTGCGTAGGTAGGACGCCCTCCTCGTCTGGATCGGCATCTCCGTCCTGCTTCTCTGTACTATTCCGCCGTGGGCCCACCCACGCACGAAGCCTTCTTCGTCGACATCCGTATACACTGCAGGGAGCTCGAGATCCATGTCCGGTAACGCGTCGAGAAGATACTTGAGGCCACGGGTGAGATTGTCGAAGACCAATTGCCGAAAGTGTTCTTTCTCCTATTGCACAAGCACCTGATTAGCGAGATGGCGAGGGGTCAAAAGATCTAAAGCATACCTGGGGTGAGAATGGAACCTTGTGAATCAGCCGCATTTGCTTCAAGATGGTCGATTTGCCGCTATCGCCAGACCCGAGGAGAAGGACCTGCGCCAACGGGCGTTAGTGAGGATCGTGCATATTCTATGCTCAGCAGAGAGAATGAACGGGATTTGAGACCCAGCGCCCTTTCTTCCAGGTGCTCAAGGCTCTGACAGATCATGCAGGATCCGAACGACACTTGACGTTGGGCACGCACGGCACGAAAACATGGGTGAGCGAGAAGACCGCCGTCATGATCTATATCGGAGAAAGACGCGAACGAGAACAGGATGCATAGGCAAGAACCGGAGGAGGAGGGCCTAGAGATGGAAAACACACTTTACCTGCGCCTCCATCCGCGCCTTGGCTTCCTTCATTTGCTTCTCCGCTGCCCGGTGCAGTGCGCGCTCGCGGTCCGTCACTTCTATGCCGCCAGGAACAGGGGACGAGAGGCAGCCGCCCATGTCAGCCAAGGTAGTGAAGCAGAGGTGAGAATCTGGGTGAGAGAGGGAAGCTGGTGTGCGCGTCCGAGGCGGAGGGGAGAAGCGGGAGTGGTATTGTGCGACGCCGGATGAGGGGATAATCTAGAATTCCCGCGGGCTTCCTTCGTCCGTCCTTCGGATGCGGATTTGCGTATACTCGCGGAGGAGTGCCTTCAACAGCGATGAGGTGATGGGTACGGCTGATCGCGCCGCAGTTGAGGCGAGGGTATGGAGGAAGGAAGGGAAGTACGGTAGCGAAGAAAAGTGCGCGACAGAGCGCACGGTCGAGACAATAGTGATCAAAAACTGTCCAAGGGCAAGGTGGAGCCTAGGTGGGATGATTGATCATCGGCTTCTCGGCCCCGCGCTGTCGCTAAGGTGATCGCTACGAGCCGGATTTTGAATGGGTTGCTCAGTCTCCCGCACGTTGGAGAGAGAACTAGTCCCAAAACCTATAGTCACATAAATGGCTGTTACAGCAGCAAGATCATTAATGCTCGATGTACGTGAGGTCATAACAATTAAGCGGGAACGCAGCCGGAAGTAAACGTCGACCTGATGGCCTCGGCCGCCGCAGTCTACCATCCCTTATAACTGACCGTCGACCATTTTCAGCCTCGAAGGATGCTCTGTCAAAGTCGTCTGGGGGACAAGCAAAGACTCGGATTGAGATATTAGCAGAGTGAAACAGAGAAAGAATGAAACCGAGAGAACCCTAGTCGTGCTGCGCCGATTCCAATGCACACTCAGGAACTTGAGTCTTAGCCGACAGTTTGTAGAGTTTGTATGTTTGATGTCATGGCAGCTGAGTGTGTGGCAGTCGATGCGTTACGCACGTGAATAAAACGCGCAACAGCACTGCCCTAGAGGTCAGCCTCATGTGAAACAGAGATGAAATTGGTATGGAGGCTGAAAACGTTATGC